GTCTTCCTCAGCAAAAAGAGGAGGATTAGCATGAATGTTAACTCAGGACTGATCTTCCTCACAAAAAAAAAAAGAGTTAACTAGTCATTCAGTCAAGAACTCAACAATGGCCTCTAACTCCTTCTGATTTTTGCCCTAGGGTATACGGGTCCTGTGACTTTGGATGACTGTGGGGACATTGACAACACTATGGTGCTTCTGTATACCTCTGTGGACACCAACAAAGTATGTCTGATTTCTTATCAGGACCTTGGGGTGAAGTGACTGAGTGAGGAGGGATAACTTGGAAGGCGAGTAATAGTAAAGAAATTAGAGAAGTTATGTTTAGAATCTAGAAGTTGGTTTATTTCAGATTCACAATTATGCCCCACTTGGAGTAGTATTCCTTAAGCATTTTGTCCCATAGAACTTCTTAGTTAGAATATCCACTCTATTTACTATACAAAAAATACTCACCCAGAATACATTGATATAAAGATCAGACTATTGATGGAATACCAATGAGAGGTTAAGAGTTTTCGCCTAAGAATTGTTTATTCATTTCCACAACTAAAAATTTCAATGAAACGTTTCCTATTCTCTCCATCTGAACTCTCATGAAAATCATTAGTTGTGTAATCCCTCTGGCACATATACATAGCCCTATAATTTAATACTTTTCTTCACATTATATATGTCTTTTCTCCTCACCTACACAGTAGGATCTTTAAAGGGAGTGGGTGTTACCTCTCCGTGCTTCAGAGCTTAGCTGCTTCTCTGGCACAATAGTTGATGGCTGATCATCATTTAATTGAAAAACAAAACACCTGTGTTAATGTCACCCAAAATTGTGCCCATTGCAAATTATGAAAACCACTGTTCTAGCTAACCAAATGGTCAGTAGAAAGCTTTTTCTCTAAGACATTGGGTCCTGACATAACTAGAAATCTAAGAGAAAAAGTTATTAATTTTTTCTTATAATTTTCCAGTGTGAGCGTTATGACATACTCAAGTCACATATTGAGTGTGCATATTGACTTAGCTTTGTAAAAGATATCTTTAATGGAAAATGTGGAAAACTAGAGAAAAGATGCCCTATTTGAGAAAGTTAAACCAGAAATTCAGGGGCAGCATTTCAGAAAAGTAATCCACGGTTTTTAGTTACTATATTTAACCTTTAATATAATGCTATATTTAGCATTAATTCCATGTGAATACCTTAAAATAAGATCTCTCAATGCTTCAGTTACTGGTACTACTACAAAGATAACTACACTCCTCTCTACGTTATTTGCAGCTGGGATGGTGCCTTTGCCTCCCTTGGAGAGAAGCAAGTATATGTCGTGAGATCCTATGTCAGCCTCGTATCTGCTCTTCAAAATGAAAAATGTTGTTCTGTGCACTTATTCTCTCTGACGGCAAATCTAGTTGAATATTTCAATTATCTAATGACATCAGTTGTGCTATATAATATGTATATATGAGGAAACCAGAGATTAATTCTCAAAATATAGGGCCATAGATTCTATAACCAGATTAGGTCTCAAAAGAGATTTAATGTACCATACCCTAATATGTAGAATATTTCGTATCCTCAATATATGCAATTATACATTCTGCTCTCAAGTTAAGAGTATAGTTTTGAGAAAGCAAAATTTTTGCCCAGAATGTTTTGAGGGAATGATGGTGAATTTAGAAGGATGGTCGCTTTTCAGATGTCTCTGACAAAGCTGACTCAATATATGCAGCAGTAATTTGAGGATATATTAATATTCCCATTGGCAGATTACTTGAAAAATAAACCTTTTATCTTAGAAACCTGATTAGTGTTGTGTTTAAGAAAGCACATTAGAGTAAAAAGATAGAAGAGATTAAAAAATTATGTAATTGGCAGAATTCAGGAAATGTAGAATTATTTCATTGCCCCTTGACATGTATCCAAATGGATAATGGATTTTAGCTGAGGTGCATTTTCTCAAGACATCATTTTCAATAGCAACTTAATATTGTGGAAAACACCGGTGCTTCACTTGTCCTATGACATGGAGCTAGTCATTTAATTTCTCTTGGCCTCTAGTTTATCATTTGTAAAATGAAAGACTTGAACTAGTTCTCTAAAGACCCAAAGAATCTATGTTGGGCAGGGTTACTGGTGTGGCATAAAGAAACAGAAAACTAATCGGCCCACGTGGAGCTTAAATCCATGTTCATGTTGTGAACCAATAAGTGGATCATAACTAGCTCCTGGCTGGGTAACAGTTACCTTGTGTCACTGAGAAGCATTACTATGAAATACAAATGTCATTGGGCAGGACAGTCTATCTTATCAGAAGTCATCCTAAAACGTCTTTTTCTGTTCATCCTTCTTCTTTTCCATGCCCTGACACAGTACAAGGTTCTTTTGACCTATGACACACACGTAAATGGGACTACATCAGTGGATCTGAGCCCTACTTTCACGTGGAAGAACCATAAACTTCCTGACGATATTCCAGGCCAGGGTAAGAGATCCTTAGTGAATTTTCTTTCCCTGAAATTGTTTTTCTGGTAAGGAGAGTAAATTCTATGGTTTATGCAATTAGCCTGTGATTTTTGCTTTGTTTTGCTTTGTTTTGTTTTGTTTATTGTCTGAATTAGATTTGCCAGGTTTGTAAATGTGGACTTTTCTTCCCTGAACAATGAATGATATTATAATTCTGATTAAACACTGAAAATACACTTGTTGTAATTTAGCTATACCTATCTTTAATATGTGTCCTACCTATCATTTGACATAAATTATCCTATAGAAAACTAGGTTTGACAATTGGCAAAATGAACACCAAGACTTCTTACGCCGTTTACATTTTATTGGAATAAACTCAAAGAATACATATTTCAGCAAGGAATACTTGATGGCATCAGGCTGAGCGATAGTCAGTAAGCATGGCCTCTAAAGTCTCCTCCATTCCCTCATAGGACACACACTTGGGTTGTAATGATGGTTACCCACCTACTTAAGATGAGGTCCTATCATGTCATGGAAAGCCTTAACATGACCAGGCCTTCACCTGTGCAAGTTGCAATGTAACTATATAACATTGGCCATCACTAGACAGGGCCAGCCAGGTATCTCCTGGGCAACAAGGTCTCAGGACAGTCTGTGTGTGACTGGCTTGGCCAAGGCTTGCCACAATGAATAGTAATTCCACATTACTAATCTATTTTTAGGACAAAGAGTTTAAATTTGGACAAATATTTACTCCCAAAGATGCAAAAAAAGTGGAAACACCATTAATAAAATGACTTAGAAAATCATGATATATTCATAAATGGAGTGTCATGCAACCAGTTAAAAATAATTATTTAATTGACATACAAAACTTACAATGACATACAAAAAGTTACAATGTAAAGTAATAGAAAAATACAGCTTTTTTATTTAATGAGGTTCTAAATTTGTCAAACAACTTATAGACATAAGGCTAAAAGAAGTGTGCTCAAATGTTGACAGTGATAGCCTTTGAGTAATAGGATCCTAGAAGATTTTTTTTTTTTGCTTTTTTTTGATCAGGAAGATTGTCCCTGAGCTAACATCTGTTGTCAGTCTTCCTCTTTCTGCTTGAGGAGGATTGTCCCTGAGCTAACATCTGTGCCAGTCTTCCTCTATTTTGTATGTGGGACACCGCCACACCATGGCTTGATGAGTGGTGTGTAGGTCCACGCCTGGGATCTGAACCCGTGAACCCTGGGCCTCCAAAGCAGAGTGTACAAACTTAACCACTACACCACCGGGCTGGCCCCTGCTTTTTTATATTTTTCTTAATTTTCCAAATTTTCCATAATTACTGTATTAATTTACCATTAAAAAAATATTTTTAAGTGTTGAAAATTATAAACTAGACATATTTCTATCCCAGCCCCACTCTACAGCCAGAAACTGACTGAAAGATTGATCTGAGTTAAAGAAAACAGTTCTGGTTCAGTGGGTTTGCTTGTGTTAAAGCTGTAACTATGTTTCTAGTCTTTTTGGGCTCCACGAGTCAAATTTGGTTAAAAATGATCCTTGTGTTTTAATCCAATAGGTATGAGCAGTTCACTAAAGCAAAGATGGAGGTGGGAAGTGGAGATCCCATTCTTCTAAATAATAATCAACCCTGAACTGACTTCAGATTTATTATCTTTGCTTTTTAAAGCTGATTTCTTTTCTTTAGCAAGTTTTTTTTGTGTGTGTGAGGAAGATCAGCCCAGAGCTAACATCCATGCCAGTCCTCCTCTTTTTTGCTGAGGAAGACTGGCCCTGGGCTAATATCTGTGCCCATCTTCCTCCACTTTATATGGGACACCGCCACAGCATGGCCTGACGAGCGGTGCATCAGTGCGCGCCCGGGATCTGAACCTGTGAACCCTGGGCCACCAGCAGCGGAGTGCCCGCACTTAACCACTACACCACGGGGCCGGCCCCTTTAGCAAGTTTTTTTTTTATCTCTAGAACCATCTTCAAGTTTCCTTGGTTTTAAAGATTTTATTTTATTTTATTTTTTCCCCCCAAAGCCCCAGTGGATAGTTGTATGTCGTAGCTGCACATCCTTCTAGTTGCTGTATGTGGGACTCGGCCTCAGGATGAACGGAGAAGTGGTGCCTCGATGCGCACCCGGGATCCGAACCCGGGCCACCAGCATCGCAGCGCGCGCACTTAACCACCAAGCCACAGGGCCGGCCCTCCTTGGTTTTAAATCAAACGACTTCTGAAATATATCTCTTTCCTCATGGGCTTCTGCAACTCCCTACTTCTTCTCTTTGTAACTTTTTGAGTTAAAATTATTTTTCTTTCTCCTTAATTATCACTCTCAGTGATGATGTTATGTTTGGATTTTTAATAAATTTCTTTACGAGTTTTTAGATATTTTGGTGATTGAATAGAATGTCTGTGCTTTGTAAAGTGCTGAACTACTCAAAATGTAGTTTTTGAGAGAGCTCTCATTATTTACCTAAAAGAGATTACATTAAGAATTCATATTATGTACGACAGGAACATTGCATCATCCTGGACAACTTCACTTCATCCTCAGTTAACTAGAAAATTCAGTTAGCCAGAGCTTTTCACTACTTAACTGTTACTACATTTAGTTTTAAACTTTACAAATGCAGTAACTCAATCTTCCAAAAGGTATACAAATAAGATATTCGTGCCTGGTCTTTTATCTGTGTACACAACTGCCAACTAAGTAACAGAACATTTCATGTGGATATTGCATCATCACTGCCTTTTCATTCATTCCACAAAGATTTACTTATTGCCAGGTATGTTCTAAGCATCTGGGACACAGCAATGGACAACGCAGAATTGGTTCCTGTTCCTCAACTAAGCCTTCATCATCTGCCTCCTGGGTTACAATAATATCCAACTGACTTCCTGCTTCAGTCCTGCCTCCTGCTCACCTCCACTCCAACCAACACTGTCACTAGGATGACAGCTTGAAGTCAGTCATATTACTGCACTCTTCTAACACTCCAATTGGCAGCTCCACTTTATCTACAGATTAAAGTCCATGTGACTTATTATAGCACAAAATGTCTGCCATCTTCCTATGTCTCCAGCCTTATTTTTCATCTTACTTGAAATCCCTTGCCCACTCTCTCAACGTCCCCCTACTTCCTTAAAGAAGGGGCCTTGCAACTTCATATCCCTGTATCTTCATTGATGCTGCTCCTTCTGACTAAAATTTATCACTGCTCCATACAACCGGCAAACAACTGCTCATCCTCAATATTTAACTTGAATTTCACCTTTTCTAAGCTTTTTCTTAGCATCTCAGTGGATTATTGATCTTGCCCTTATCCTGCCAGACTTCCAGCATAGTACTAATAACACAGTTACTTGTTTACACATCTTTTTATACCATACACTATGTAAGTGTAGGGTCCATTCTTTATTTATATCTCCTTTCCCCAACACATTTCCCCATCTGCCTCTTGGAAGGCAGACAGGCAGGCAGGCAGGCAGGAAGGAAGGAAGGAAGGGCAGACAATATGAGATGATGATTATGTTTCTAGTCAGCACTAATGTATACAGTGTTAATTTCAGTCACTTTACTTTTCTTCTCTAAGTATGAGCATCTTCCTCTGTTAAATCAGACTTTTTAACTGATTCTCGAAGTTTTTTTCCAACTATCATATGACCTTGGGGTTATGAACTCAATCTACATTCATTGTGACAACCACAGCATCCAGAAGGCAGCAGCAGCTTAACCTTAGAACTAATGTGATAACCTTGACTTATCTAACAAGCAAACTAAAAAGTACATTGAAATAAAAATTACTATATTTAAACATTTAAATAGTGTATTTAAATATCATAATTATATTTAGTGCTGTGAGATGTCTACATCGTGGGAAGCAGATAGGAATTGAGGTGGGCTGAGGACCCAGCAGATAGGAGTCCCCCATACTCCCCTCAACGCATGCTCTAGTCTAGGGGATGTGTAATTTTAGTAGACTGATGAGTAGAAACACCGGCACTGTTGAAATTGTATTTCTCATACTCATTTTTGTGTGGGGTTGGGGGTATGAGAGTGGTGGTAGTGGCAATGGTGGTGGTGGTGGTGATAGAAATGATTATAGTAGTAAACAGACTTCACCAGTCAAATGTGCCCATAATGCAAATCCAACTCCAGGGTATTAATTTATTTCTGTCCTGATAAGACTAGAAATCCAGAGCTCACATTTTCGCTATTAAAAGTTTCTGCTTAGCAGAAAACAAGGTAATAAGCAAAGTCATATGTTAGCAAAGCATAAATCCTTCAAAGGCACCCCTTATAGAAAGGTTCTGCAGTATTAACCCCAAGCTAAACCCTTTCCCTCAGAAAAAAACAGTTAGTTCATTAGAAGGATCTAATGGATGAAACAAAAACAGTTTAAAAATACGTGTGACATGAGATAAGTCCAATGGCTCAAAAGGGTTTTTTATGTCAATTTATTTACGTATTTTAACATTTGGGCATTTTTCCCTCGCCTCTTCTCAGGCAGTGAGATGAGCAGAGCAAAGTTTTTATTCAATTATTTATTTATTCAACCATTTTTTAATTGGTACATTACCAGGTACCAGGTCTTGTGCTGAGTTCTAAAGGTACGAGGATAGACAAGAAAGACATGGACCATGACCTCGAGGGTCTATATCATGGTGCCATGAGAGAGAATTCAGTGGGTGGCATTGAGGTGCTACTCGAATAGGAGGTCTTGGCATCTCTTCTCTCTTCAGGGGCACCTTCATTAATTATATTTTTAGTGAAAAAAAATTCATGCACATGATTTTAAAATCCAATAGTAGAAATATTCACAATGGAAAATGAGTGTGCCTGGTCCCACCTCTGTGCATGCCTGGTCTCTCTTCTGCTTTTAGTTCTTTGCATATTTCTAAATAATATGAATGTATTTCTTGATTTATAAGCTTTACATGTTATCTATTTATTTCTTGTATTAATAAATGAAGATTTAGTTCATCTTGACTAGAGCTACTTTTCTCTAACCTCTTCTCAATATAGTTATATTTTTTTGTCAATACATTTATTGGATACCTTTGTAATTTTAATTAATATGCATGAACTTCTATCAACTATATATAAAACTTCTTACTTCCCAACTTTGTAAGATGAAGAAGTTAATGTCACTATCCTTCCTTCTACCTCCTTCCCACCTCCCAAATTCTCTTGTATTTTTCTTTAGTTTGTCAGGGCTGATAATATTTATTTGATAACCATAATGAAGCCCTCTGTCATTTACCTATAAATTGATTCTATAAGTTGAAAATTAGTAAACATTTTCATTATTATTATTACTTATATAAAGCTAAATAGCATGCCGTAATAACATTTCTTTCTATATAGCTCTAATGTCTCCCCTTTGTGCCACACACACAAAAAAATGGACTTTTAAAAAAGTTCCAAATTCTCAAAACCAAGTGAAATGTTACTTTGTTTTGGTTTTATACTATGCCTTCCTTGAACAACTTGCCCTACAGTTTCTGATTGGGTCTCTTACTTTTGCTATATGAAGAAACATGTCTTCTTCACCATATTGCTATCATCTTCCAGGTTCTTACACACTCTGTCTATTGCTTGAAATCCATTCCATTTTTTCTTCTTGAATCCACTAACTTCCTATTCTAATAGGGACCCATTGTGGCTTATGTGAACCATGGCTTTCTTGTACAGTTTTATTACTGTTGTTGTCCTTCTCAATCTAGGCTTATTCCTCTGCATACCCAGACTCTGCTTCAATGTTTCCTTGGGTTGGATCCACATTTTCCTGGATTCCACTTACTCTTCTGTGAGTGTCTCAAATTACTTCATCTACACAACTCCACCCACATACCAGTGTTCCAATGAATAAAATCACTTACAGTCTTCATTGACTTCCCTCAAGGACCTAGTAGAGCTTGGAAAGGACCAACAGGCAACACTGTCATTTAATATTCCACACAGATTTACTTTTCTTTCAATTTGTGCTCTGCATTAAAAAAACAGTTGTCTCTTACTTCCTCTTTGAATCCTCCTTAGGTATATTGGTTTCAAGGACACCAGATAGGCTTCCATCACCAAAATTATCTGTGTGCTGCAAGCTATTTTATGCTCTTGTAACATTTGGCGATTCTCATAAGAAAAGAAATGAGATATATAGACTGTAAGAATTGCTGAAATTAAACCACTTCCCCTGGGCACGTTCCAGACAGTTTTCTTCAGAGAGCAAGGACACAGGACCTATATTACCAAGGACAAGATTAATAAAAGATAAATATTTTTAGAAAGGGTTGTCCCTTTCCTCTTCCTCAAATTATATTGTGCAATTAGAATCATTGAAATGCTTTTATTCTCTTTTCCAAGATCCTTACTAATGCATTTTCCCTGTCTTTTCTGCCACAGGACCTCAAGTCCTGATGATTGCAGTCTTCACTCTCACAGGAATTATGATCTTGCTCCTGCTCATTGCTCTCCTGGTGCTGAGGTACCTGCTACCCACTCTGTCCTGCTGTGCTCACCATTCAGAGAGGGAGGAAAGGAGAGAGGGAGGTCTGATGTCTATTGATGATAATGTATGCCGACAAAGAGGTCTCTAGACAGATCTGAGATTATGAAGGCATTCTTCATCAAAGACTATATCAAGGGCAGAGTATTACTGAGTGGATAGATTGGAGTTTCAGAGTCAGAGACACCTGAACTCGAGTCCCAGTTCTGTGATTCACCAGTCATGTGGTCTTAAGCATATTATTTAACAACTTAAACATGTTACTTAGCTTCAGTATCCTCATCTGAACTGTTGTAAGGAGTTGAAATAAGGTACGTATAGTGACTACTATTTAATAGGCATTTTATAAGTGGAAATAGCTAGTTTTGCTGTTTTATTGATACATTGTGGGAAATTTCAAAGTCTCAATATTGTATAATGTTCAAGCTGGAAGAGACTTTAGAAATCATCTACTCCAAACCTCCTATTTTAGCATGGGGAAAGAAAGGACCAGAAAGCCAAATGGCTTGTCTGGAATCACTTCACTAGGTAGTGTGTAGGGCCAAAACTAGAACTCAGACCTTCTGACCATCAGTTCCATGATTGTTCTACTGGACTTGGACATGTGAAGTGCCTAGCACAGTGCCAGAGACATAGTGTATACTCATAAATATTTGTTGAATATATAAATGAGTGAATACCATACTACATCCTAACCTCTGTATGTTAAACACACAAAACTTTCTGTCCTTTTATATTATCAGGATCACTCTCATTTCCTGACTAAACCAGACAACAACTTTCTCTATGTATCATATGCTTTGGTCTGTGTTACTATACTTTCTTATAATGAGAGAGTCCAGCCTGTTACATGTCAGTGGAAGTTTTCTCCAGGAAAGGGACTAGGTTATTCTCTTCAGTCTGAAGGCTCCTGCAACTCCGTGTTGCCCAGAAATATAGGAGATGATCTACAGTGTGTGGTGACCATTTAGTTGAGGGTGAGCAGAAACCAAAATTTAGGGAGAGTAAAGACAGTCAATAACAAGGTCACAGATGTGGCTGTTGTCCCTCAGAAACCAAGTCTAATTGGGTGTCAGCTTAAGATAGGGATAAATCACAAGATAAGAGACAGTAACAGATGGAAACAGGCATTTGCCATTTTCTCTAAGCATGGGAGGCAGAGATAGGACTCCTAATGGCCAGAGCAATAGTGTGTCCACGAGGACATCTGGAAGACAGATGTTACTCTTGTAGTTTTCAATTACTACAGCCAATACAAGAAAAGTAATGAATGATTTATGGCATCCCTAATTCAATATGAATGACAGCTGGCTCTGTTGGTCTCAAGAGTTTCCTGGGGTACAGAGATGAAAACCTGGAAGCCCTCAAGGCCTTGATAGTCAACCTACTTGCATCCAGGTCTTAGAATCATAATTATTGGCCAATAATATGCTATTTTATATGTATTTAATAGAGGAATACTCAGAGTTAGATGGAAGTGTAGGAAGAGAATAATCATTTCTGCCTAGGGGACATTTAGAAAGCCATCATGAATGACCTTCAGAAGGTGAGTAGGAGTTTGTCAAATGACCACAAGCAAAGGCAAATTCAGGGACAGACAAATAGGTCAACTGAAAAGATTATAGATTCTAGAATCAGATACAAGCAAGCACAAGAACCTGGAATATGGTAGAAGTGACATCACAAGTCAGTTGGGAAATGATGTTGGGACTGCAGACTTTAAACATGAAAAAAATGAAATTAAAACCCTACTAGAAACCACGCACAAGAGGGAGTCCATTCCATATGGAGTTTTAAACAGATTCAGGACCTAAATAGGAAAATCAAATTTAAAACTTAGAAGAAATTAACAGAAAATGACTTTGATGTCATTTTCTGTTAATTTCTTATCAACCTGTGATCAATGATCACAGGTTAGGACAATATTTCTCAGTAAAGATAAAAAAGTCATAGAAGAAAAAAATATAAACACGATCATAATAAAATCAAAACTTTCTATACAACAAAATTAAAGTAAACAATAAACTGTAAGGAGGTATTTGTAACACAAAACGACAAAAGATTTGTTTTGCAGGCTATACAAGGAATGCATGTGGGGCCGGCCCCGTGGCTTAGCGGTTAAGTGCGTGCACTCCGCTACTGGCGGCCCGGGTTCCGGTCTTGGGCGCGCACCTATGCACCGCTTCTCTGGCCATGCTGAGGCCGCATCCCACATACAGCAACTAGAAGCATGTGCAACTATGACATACAACTATCTACTGGGGCTTTGGGGGGAAAAAAAAAAAAAAGGAGGTGGATTGGCAATAGATGTTAGCTCAGAGCTGGTCTTCCTCAGCAAAAAGAGGAGGATTAGCATGGATGTTAGCTCAGGGCTGATCTTCCTCACAAAAAATAAATAAATAAATAAGGAATGCATGTAAGTTAATAAGGAAAAGACAATGAAATAGAAAAAAACAGGCAAAATTATGAATACACAATTTGATATAATTCTATAATTCTATATAGTCTATAAAATAGCTAGAAAATATCTGAAAAGATACTTAATCTCTCATAATCAAAGAAAATAAAGTGCAAAGCAGCAATTCAACATCATTTCACATACATCATAATGGTTAAAAAAAAGTTTAATAATACAAAATGTTGTTAACAATATGGAGGAAACAGGAATTCTCATGATGGGAGGATAAACTGGTTCAACCAATTTGGGAAGCAATTTGGCAATATCTGTAAACTTGGAAGTGCATCTCCTACAACCCAAGAAGTCTACTTCATCCATGCTATCCCGGGAAAACAATTACAAAATTTTTACATTTTGATTGTTGGGATACATGTTGTTACATTTTCTCTGTGCTTTTCTATTTTTTTAAAGACACAGATGCATAAGAGGAACTGGCTCATTTAGGAATCTGATGTACTCTCTGGTGGCTTAAAAATTAACATTTTTCCCTTTCAAGGTTATCAGTTTTAAAATCTTTTCTCTCCTCTTTTTTTTTGCTCACTTTTTCTATGTCATCAGTTCAGATTCTTTAGTATAGTGAAGGACTGCCTTAGCGAAGGACCCAAGACAATGAAACAAAAAGGAAAAAAAGAAAGAATACAGAAGGCCATCAGAAATCCTTACTGGTCCACTGATGGCCGGCACTCACCAGTTTGAAGAACATGGAGTTACACCATTGGGCTAGCCTCACTCATGACATATCTACCTGAAAATATTAGGGTTCTAAATTTTTCCCAGTGTTCAGAAGTTGAATGGCATGAATACTAATAAAAACCTATTGACTGGTTTTATTCCTTTCCCAGAAAATATAAAAAAGAAAATGAACTTCGTCAGAAAAAATGGTCCCACATTCCTCCTGAAAAGATCTTTCCTCTGGAGACCAATGAGACCAACCATATTAGCCTGAAGGTAAGGCGTCCCCTACCTGTTGAAGAAGGCTAGAGCTGGTGCAACATGCCAGGTATTTGACAAGACTTTGGTGGCATGGTAGGAAATATGCCAAGCAGGGATCATTTGTTTCAGAATCCAAGACTTAGATGTTTTCTAATTCTCAGTTTCCTGTCTTTCCCTTGATTCTCTATTGCCCTAAAAGTCAGCTAGTTGATCCAATGAACACTTCAGTGGAGAATGAGATATGATGTGTTACTCATTCTTTGCATCTGACACAGAAGAGAATGCACATATTGAGACTGTGTCATGGAAGGGATATAGGAATGGGTAGAGCATCTAAGACCCCCTAAACCTTGGATATTAATCTGCCCATATTAAGGACGTATGACTTAGCTAGCTCATTACTGAAGAAAGAGGCCTCTGCTGATATCTGCCCACATTATCCCTCAACCAGGACATAGCAGCAGCAGCCAATGAAAACAACTCACTCCCATTCACTGCAGCCAGTGCCGGACCTATGTTGTCTCATCTACTCCTCACAAGGAACTCATGAGTGAACTTTATCATCATAACTTTGCTTATGAGGAAACTGAAGGACAAAGGGTTAAGAAACAGAGCAGGGTCACACACAGGTAGTAAGATTACTACAAATAATCATAGCTAACACTTAACTGAGCTCTTCTTGTGTGCCAGATACATTGACCCATTTCATCTTCCCCAAGCCCTGTGAGGTAACAGGGCTAGAATTGCCATAATTTGAACCCAGTCTATCTAACTGTAAAGCCTAAGATCCTAACACCTACCATACACCATATTCTTTTTAAAGTTGTTATATTAAAGTATACTAAGAGGAGATGGAGATCTAGAACCTCCACATGATGGAATTAGCAGGGTCCCTCAGAGTAGGGCCAAGCTGATAGGAGAAGTATGACTTGAGATGCCTTCCTGCCTAAAATCAGGAAAAGTAAAATTGCAGCATGGGTCAGGTTTATCCTTGAAGCCTCTCTATCAGCTCTTGGCACTCCACCCCAAATCCTGCATGCTGCACTCGAATGGCTCAGATCCTCTCATGGCTGTACATGGAGTAGGTCTTTCTTTCCTCCAGAAATGCTCTAAAGGGACCCTCCTGTTGCATTCTGAGCCTCACACATAAAAACAGTATTCACAAAGATCAGTCTGTCTCAGCCAAGTGTCAGGATGAAATCGATCTTATGGTCATTCACAATAAGGTGTAAATGACCATAAGACTATTGGATTTCCAAAGGGAGATTTTGTTGACCTAAATGACGCATTGACAGTACCCTAGAAAGGGGAGAGGAGACCTTTAGAAGGAGTGAGTGCTCCCTGCCTCTGGTACGACACCAGGATGGACCAAGTGGTCCACCTCTGCACAAGTCCAGGGTGGCTCCACTCCTCATAAGCCTTCCTCACTGCCTCATAAACCCCATATTTCATATTTGTTCTTTTGGATTGAGCCTAAAACATTGTGTCTCTGTGTTTTCTTAAAATGTAAATATTCCTAGCAATATAACCCATTTATCCCTCGTCAGACATTACAGAATTTTTATGAGTTAATTCATCAGATGAGCCACTCACCTGGCTAAGGACTAGGTCTTTGGAACAGTAAACTTGAAGAAGGGAAGTTAGAAATAATCCAGAGCGTGAGGAATCAATCATTGTTGATCTGAGTCTCAGAGGCTGGGGAGCAGGCGGGCCAGGATTGGCTGTAAGGAGAGGTCTTCTGGTGCTGTGAGTCAGGGGGAGCAGGAGCAGGCCCAGGAAGGTCAGCCAAAGTCAGCAAGGGGGGGAAATGCCACACAACCAGCCGGGCAACGGTTTGAGTTCTGGATACTCACTGAAGGCGGAGGTAAGGAAGCAAGACCAAGGGAAGAGATGATAAAAAGTCAAACATCCTTGTACTAGAACGGAAAGGGTCCAAAAGCCAAAGCAGCCAGACAAAAAGAGAAGACAGGAAACTCAAAGGGATGAAGTCTAACAGACAGAAAAGAAAATGATAAAGATGATGATAACTCGTTTGAAGATAAAATGCTTCAGTTGCAAGAAAATTTCACAAACTTTGTCTCATTTGATCCCCAAGTATCCCTATGAGTTAGGATACCCAGATAAGGTACTGAGGTTCAGATAGTTTAAATGACCTAATCGAGGCCAGAGACAGTAAAAGAGTACCAGACAAGAAGGCAAGCTCAGGCGAAAAATAAAAAAAATTTATTTTTTAAATTTTTTACATATTACTTTGACAAAGATTTTTTTAATTAATTTTTTATTGAGGTAACATTGGTTTATAACATTATATAAATTTAAGGCATACATAATTACATTTTGATTTCTGTGTAGACTACATTGTGTTCAACACCAAAAATCTAGCTGTCATCCATCACCGTACACATGTGCCCTTTTGTCCCTTTCACCCTCCCTACTTCCCCCTTCCTCTCTGGTAACCAATCTGTTCTCTGTATCTGTTCGTTTGTTTGTCGTTGTTGTTTTATATTCCACATTAGTGAAATCATATGATATTTGGCTTTCTCCGTATGACTTATTTCACTTAGCATAATGCCCTCAAGGTCCATCCATGTTGTCACAAGTATTTTTCCAAAGAAGATATACAGATGGCCAACAGGCACATGAAAAGATGTTCCACATCACTAATTATTAGGGAAATGCAAATCAAAACCACGATGAGATCTGATACATGCTTATGTGACATTTAGTGTCATTTAACTCTTATATATCATCTGTAAAAGGAGAAAAAGGAGAAGGGAAGACAACTGACATTTATTAATCTGCACTGTGCCACTCATCATACTTGGGACTTAATATAATTTATTTCATTCACATTTCAAAATGCCTGTAAAGGTAAATTTTTACAAATATTATAATACCTCAAAGGTTTTTATGAGAATCAAATTGAAAGATGCAATAGTTCTTAACTCTTTTTTTTTGCCTTTAGACTGAAGTCTGGCAGACCAAGAGCCATATCTAGCCTGCAGGGGTGTGTGTGTGTGTGTGTGTGTGTGTGTGTGTGTGTGTGTGTGTGTGTGTGTGTTTTGCTCAATATTTACCATATTTTAAAATTAACTGCCAAATATAAAAATCTTGGAATGGCATAGAAAAATCCATATTACCAACTTCTTTTGACAAGTCAGATGATCTAGCAACTCTAGGCTGTACCTAGAGCTGATGGGCTGCCCCCCTTCAACACCTGGCCCAGCGTCCTCACTTGCATTGCTACTTGGGCCTTTAGGCATGAGTTTGCAACTCAAATGCACAACACGCTTCCCTAAGAGCATCTGTAGGTAGCCACGGGTAATGATTCCCAATAGAAGGGAAGTGAAGGGGAGAAGGAAGCAAAGAAAATCCCTGGCTGAAGTAGGCCACAAGAAGAAGGAGGAAAAAATAGGACAATAAGTGGGAGAGAGGAAAACCCAGAGTTAAGCATGAGTGGTCGATACCTGAAAGAAGGTTTTGTTGGAAAGGAAAGGCCAGGAGGGAAAGGGAAACACAAGTCAGTTATGACAGTTTCTCTGGGAGCAGCTCAGCACGCTATGAGCGAACAGCAGATACAGCCCACCTGGAAAAGCCTTGCAGCCTTTGACTGGTAGTGGATGGGACAAGATACGAAGCTTCTGGAATAATTAACCTTTTCTTGCGCCAGATCGATGATGACAAGAGACGAGATACAATTCAGAGACTACAACAGTGCAAATACGACAAAAAGGTGACTATAGCCTCCCTGCTTCTCGAACTCTCAGTTAGGGGTATGTTCTGGGCCTTCTGACTCATCGTTGCCCCAGCTTCTGAGGATGGCACAGCAAAGGTGGGGGCGGGTGCCCAGGTTGCTCCAAGGGGCTGTCTTGGAGCCTTTCAAGGAATGCGCAGGGCTCTGTTTCAGGGGTTACAAAACTCACAATCCTGGGAGAATTGAAGGACAAATAGAATTTCTAAGAGATGTGGAGTGTAGGAAGGAAAAGGAAAAATAAAAGAGATTCAGAGCAGTCCAGGCAACCCTTGTATTATATTTTGGCTCACTGCAGTGGGAATATGACAGTCCTATATGGGGGTCTGCATCTTCCTTCCTTCCTTCCTCTTTCCTTCCGTCCTTCCTTCCTTCCTTCCATCTTTCCTTCCTTCCTTCTTACCTTCCTTCCTTCTTACCTTCCTTCCTTCCATCTTTCCTTCCTTCCTTCCATCTTTC